GGAATCTACAAGGTTAACAAGTAAACAACACTGCTGTTGACATTCTTAACAACAAAAGCAACACCAGTCCAGGAAACTCAAGCCACGAGAAACCCCTCATATAAACAGATGCAGGAATGATCAACACTTTTCCTGCTCCAGAGGCACATAAAACAACCAGATTTTCAAACCCAGAGTGGGCCAGACAGGATGACACTGTGAGAATGATTGAGCCCCGTAGTTCCCACCACTACAAGAGGAGAAGCGAGAAGAGACCTCGGGAAGATGCAGATGCAACCGAGGCAACACTAACCAAAGGAGACAGAATAGATCTGAGGATAGTTTGCTTCCACTGAGAAACCAGTAATTCATTAGACAATGCCATGTATTTCTGCTGCAAAAGACCAAGACGGGCCACCTGGGCTGCGAGATGAAGGAGTTTAAAAAGTTCATAATTTTCCTAATGGATAAGAATTCTGCCACACCAGGACTTCTAACTACATCTTTTCATAGACCAAACCATAACACAACAAACTGAGTAGAGACTGCGAGTTATGTAAAACTATTTCCATCTGATCACTGATCAAGAAATTTTAAGAAATAAATCTGCATATGGAATATTAAACTGGCCATTTTGGACAGACACAGTATCCTTCTTATTTTGTATATATGTAAATATAACACTTAAATATTTAAGATACAAAACTCACGCAACGATTTCGAATTAGAGACAAATGTTTACAGAACTTTCGAGAGTTCAACAATGCAAGATCAGCTTTGCATTAGCATTTTAAATTTTAGCAATGAAATAGAAAATAATAAAATAGCAATGGGAAGCTATCTTCGTAATTGATTACTTTTATACGACTTCCTGGAGCACCAGCATCAGTTATGCTCGTATGTCAAAACAATGTTGGCACAGTGCCAGTGAAGATACAGATCAGGGCTACTGATTTATTCGTTTATTCCTTTTTGGAAATCAGTCAATGGTACAGCCTGCTTTTGCTTGTTCAACATGAATACTATACTATCAAGTGTAATGAATTAAAAGCCAGCGTGTCTTTGTTGTACATACAAGTAAAAGGGATAATCCAGTTATTTTAACTTGCCTGATTTTGAGTCTGCAGTCAGCCACCTGTAAAGGCAGTATTGACTGGCTGCTGTTAGTAGTCTATCTTGTAAGAAACAGGCAACTTCTAATTATCAAGGTATGATATAACAAGGTATGTACTCATTCAGAGGCCTTTAGTTTGATTTCAGTCTCACATATGTAATCAGTTTTATCAAGGAACCATTCAAAAGTATGATGCTGTTGATAAAAATTGACATGGCTTTCAGTATTTTATGGCACAAATAACATTTCTTTTCCTCAGCTACTTGATGGTGCTTTTCTGGTTACAGCAGATTCGGTGCTTCTTGTTGTGTTAATACATTGTTGCATATGAAAAACCCCTATCAAAACAGGATATCCAAGGCAATCATTTATCTTATGAATATGAAAACATGGTACATATTCCTAAGTGAAGAGAATGGCCTTAGATGCCAGTGCTGGCTTAGAGTCTTGCACCAGTGAGCCTGACCCTCACATAAACAACAGGCCATTGGGAGGCTGTTTATTACAGACTTATTAGAAATCTTGTCAATAACTTACTTGTGCTTTTGATAAGTCTGTATTCAGTTGCCAGGAGACTTGTGTTCCTGACGAGATAACATGAACAGGAAATCCTCTATAGCCTTGCCACTTTTTTCACTAGTAAATAAAAATCAGAACAACTCTTATAAAATACTAGCTACTGTAAACAGAAGAGATGAAAAAAAAGACAAGCATTGCATATTTTAAATAAAGCAACATACAGCCCTTCTTGCCCTCTGCAATTACAAGATGATAAAAGATCACCTCCATAAAGGAGAATGACCGGATTTTGTGGAACGTGGCTGTTTTGGCTCCAAGGTATTTGTAGCGTTATGGTATCAGAGCCAGGATACAGCTGCCTTGTGACTAAGATGTCGTTCACTGAATAAGTGCTATCCAATCCCCCGACGTCACCAGACATCTGTTTCCTGTTTTCATTCTTTCTTTCACTGTTATCATTTTATCCAAGTTACCCTTTCACCTGAAAACCACTTTGAAACCTACAGAAACCAGCGCGCGCGCGCGTGCCTATATCAAAGAAGTTGATTTTTAAAAAAATTACCAAGACCAATTTGTTCATTTTAATACAAAGAGCAGGAGTGGAAACAAAGTTGCCTTCCCCCCCTCTTCTTCTCCCCAAAATACACAATGATACATAAACACTTTTGTCTTCTGGTCTTCACTAATATGACTAACTTCCTTCTTCGCTTCCAGTTAAGTAGCTTTCCTGTTGAGTACCACCACCTCCACAAAATACAATTGTGAATCGATTCATAAAAACAGAAACATTATGGCACAAATAAGGGAAGGCAATAAATACTCTTCCCCCCTTCCAACTCCTTCCCAAATGGAGGCACTAGTATTGTAATAACAAAAAGGAAAAAAAAAGTAAAAAGTATTGCTTGTCATTTAAGTTTCCAAACCAACAATCATCAGGATGCAGAACAGGATACATCTAAAGTGAGAAAGTTATTTACTTCACATTCAAGTTAACACTAGCTATACTTTTTTTGGCACATGGTATTAATGTGCCAAAAAACTGTTGTGCACCTTATAAAATATCAATGTTAACGCCACTAAGTCCAAATTCCTGCTATTCACAATCCAGTTTTATTAAATTGGTGTTGTTTTGCTATGTTTCACCTATACTTAAACCACAAGTCAAAAGAATGACCACTACTGATAGCATCTAACACACATTAACAACAGACAATAGAAGCTGAAGAGTAAATCATAGAATCATAGAAAGTTTTGGGTTGGAAGGGACCCCTAGAGGTCATCTAGTCCAACCCCCCTGCAGCGAGCAGGGACACCACTAACGAGATCAGGTTGCTCAGAGCCAACCTGGTCTTGAATGTTTCCAGGGATGGGGCCTCCACTACCTCTCTGGGCAACCCGTTCCAGTGTTTCACCACCCTCATTGTAAAGAATTTCTTCCTTATATCCAGCCTAAACCTACCCTGTTTTAGTTTAAAACCATTACCCCTCGTCCTGTCACTGATGTCTCTACTAAAAAGATTGTCCCCATCTTTCCTATAGGCTCCCTTTAAGTACTGAGAGGCTGCAATCAGGTCTCCCCGCAGCCTTCTCTGCTCCAGGACACGGTTGGCCCTCTGGGCTGCCAGCGCACATTGCCGGCTCATGTCCAGCCTTTCGTCTATCAGTATCCCCAAGTCCCTCTCAGCAGGGCTGCTCTCGATCCTTTCATCCCCCAGCCTGTACTGATAGCGGGGATTACCCCGACCCAGGTGTAGGACCTTGCACTTGGCCTTGTTGAACCTCATGAGGTTCACACAGGCCCACCTCTCCAGCTTGTCCAGGTCCCTCTGGATGGCATCCCGTCCTTCTGGTGTCTCAACCGTACCACTCAGCTTGGTGTCATCTGCAAACTTGCTGAGGGTACACTCGATGTCGCTGTCCATGTCATTGATTGCGTTTGAACAGCACCGGTCCCAGTACGGACCCCTGAGGGACTCCACTCATCACTGGTCTCCATCCAGACATTGAGCCATTGACCGCTACCCTTTGGCTGCGACCATCCAACCAATTCCTTATCCACCAAACGGTCCACCCATCAAATCCATGGCTGCCCAATTTAGAGAGGATGTTGTGGGGGACCGTGTCAAAGGCTTTACAAAAATCCAGATAGATGACGTTCATTGGTTTTCCCTTGTCCACTCTTGTCAAAAATAAGCGACTTTCCATTGTTAAATCTCTGGATTTCAGATTATTTAACCAGCATGAGAATAAAAGACTTATTTTGTTTTGTGATTACAGATGCTCATATTAATTGACAAGGCAGTTTGTTGAGTGAAGGAAAAAATCTGGGGCTGTTTGAACAACACCAACAAAAAAAATTCATTCACTTCTTGTTATTCTCTGAAAGAAAAAGATCATCTTTTTTAAACTTTTTTTTCTCCACCTATTTGAGGCATACAAGTGAAACACAGGTGTTATACAGGAAAAACAGGAGATTCTAGCACTCTGAGGGCTTCCCATAGGAGATGTGATGGTTTGGCAGCTACAGGAAACTATAAGGAGCATTTCCAAAAGCACATGAGAATTGGAAAGCAAGACTCACTCTTGCGTTCTGGTCTTCCGGCCTGTTTCCTGCATCCTAACAACCAAATTCTCCCTATTTCAAAGTCAAATTCAGCTGCCATTAAAGTTCATGCAATTATGAAGCACCTCACTAACTTCTGAGGAGTCAGATGAAGCTCTGATAGATTAACTTAGTCTTCCCTCTCATCTTTCAATTCACTGCTTAGTTCATCATCCCAGACGCCGAATTCTAAGCTGCCATATGAACCTAGAATACTCTTGCATAGTGAAAGTATAGTATTCTGGAGAGACTGATGAAATGAACATTTGTCGAAAAATATTTTTTCATGATTGTATCAAGTTGGTGTGATTAAATTTCTGTTTCCCATAAAATTGTTCATAACTTTTCACATCTAAATTCGTTTGTCCACTGTCACATATGCTATCTGTGATCAAGCTCAAAACTGAACTCTGTGTCCTTTGTCCATCACATTCCCATCGTTCACAATCTAGTGTCACTGTCTAATACGCATTGACTGTGGATTCTGCTGTGCATTTTTATTAATTACATTACATTTGTGTCTGAACAAGTTATAAATTCTGTTTGAATAGTAGCAGCCGTTGATTTAAGACAGCTTTCTTTTTTTAAAAAAAATTTAAATAGAAAGTTCCCTTAAACTGCATACCCTGTTTCTCAATTCCATCTGAAGGAATAAGACAAAGATCAACACCTGTCAAGCTCTAGTGCTATTGATGACAGTGGCGAAATCCAAAACATCACTACAGAATTGAAGAGGTTAAGGAATTCTTTTGCACTTTATTATTACTGGTTGTTTTTAATCGTCGCAAGAGAAAGTGCTGGAACGCACACTTTATGTCAGACTCTACACTGTTTCCAAATGTTAAGACTTGTCATACACTGTATTATGACAATAAAAAAGTTGAGAGCTACACCAGAAGATTACATAAACAAACATTTGTGTTGTCTAGTATAACAGGAGTCTTAATAAAAACAAACACCACTTCATCTCCATTATTTCATACCCAGATGTTTCCTGTACACCTGCAGTTGTCTCCAGTCCTGAATTCATGAGCTATAGTATTTTAACAGCCTCTCATCGGTTGGTTTTAGAATTTTCTTGTCTGCCATGTTTACGATCCATCCTGGAGCAAGACCAAAAAATATCTGTCTCGGATCCTTGCGTGTGCTTAACATTTTGAAGAGTTCATCCTTAGTTATGTCTGGTAAGACATAGCCATATTTCTTGGCAAGTTCAAGCCTGGCTTCTGCAACCTTAGATGGATCTGCCAGGTACCCGCGATTCCTGGCATCTGTGTAGTAACGGACTAGATCTTCAGGCGGAAGCATTCGCTTTGGAATAGGCTTGCCACGCAGAAAAAACACTACTGGCTTACACAGAATTTCTGTGGGCAAACATGAGAGAAAATTAGATACTGTGCATTATAATACATAAAGACATTAAATGACATCTTCTTACTTAGTATTTTGTGCTAAATAAATTACTACATACTTTTTAATAAAGTATAGAGCAAAAAACCAAATCTTCAGAATATTCTTGTTCAGAATAAGATATTGTCTCACAAGTTTCACTTAATTGATCAAACAACTCTGCTTTAACTAATATTTATAGTGACAGTCTGGATGAATCATTAATGCATTTAGAATGCCTACTTTGGAAAGATATAATAACCGAGCTAAATGCTGACATTTATTTAAATGCCTGACTTCCAAGCTAGAAGAAATGCATTTGCATGGCTATTTAAACTGTGTACTAACAATGTCAAATATAGTGTTTCTATAAGTATTTAAAATAAAGAATTAATGGTATGTGCACCTCTTAGTCATTTGTGAAACTATCCTCTCCTCCACAAGTTTTACTGAGTTTGACAAATTACATTAAAGATCCTTTTAACCCTAATATTTCAATTATTTTCTGGATTGGAAAAAAATAACTTCTATCACCCCAGGGTAACATATTTTGCACACTAAAAATGTCTATTCCTCTTGTTCTCAGTCTCATTCACACATGAAAGCTCCATTATTGTCAATAAAAACTGCATGAATGAATATTAGGCAGGATGCAGCCTCAAGCAAAGCAAAGCCTCATTCTTCAGTGAAAGTGTTCTGAAAACAATAGCCATTTTGACTGGAACGATTCTGAGCTTCTGCAACTTAGTTACTTCCTCATTTTAACTGGAAAAGTATTTTAAATTAACAATATAAACATCCACAGTGGTTTATAAATCTGATTTTTCCCTAAATTTTCTTAGGGTTATTAAACACATACGAAAGTTAGAAGACAAAAATTCAAATAAATCTTTTAATAGTTCCTCTTTTAACAAAGCTACTTGGATTTCTTTAACTGGCTGATCGGTAAATGACTGCTAACACTGGTAGGGCTAAACAGGTGAACAGTTAAAAAAAGCAAAACTGAGGATGCATTACAGTTCAACATTCTGATAACAATGTGCTGTTGAAGCTTTTAGAATAGAAGAAGTGGATTATTTTCCAGTAAGAACTATGTTTGAAACTTTGATTTGGATCATTTAATCTTCACACATTCCAGAAAAAAAAAAAAAAGTAGTCGGAAATGAAAAGAAATTCTTACCCAGACTCCTGGGATCATAGAATGATGTTGTTACAACACCTCCATTTTTTTCTATGGTTGCGATTGCTAATTCAGATGCCCTCTGCACTTCAATATTTACTTTTGCTGAAAAGATATCAGCACCCTGTAAATTTCAACACATATTACAGTAACATTAAAATGAGTATTTTAGGACAGATATTTATTCTTCTCACCAAAGTTGTAAGAAACTTTAAATCTTGCAAAAAATTATGATTTGTCTGTTCCCTGCACCAAGATGGGTAACCAAATTACTCTCACTCAGTCTTCTCTGTATTTAATGAAGAAAGTTTGCCTGTACAAAATATTCATGTTTCTTTCAGTACATTCTAGTCTTCTGTTGTGAAATACTTGTTCGACCTCTTGTTGTGTGCACCTTAACTATTACTTTTGGAGCCTCCCAGGTCTCAAAACATGATCCTGGTGTGGTTTTTTTTGTTTGCTAACGCACAGTGCCCTCTAGTGGATTTATTACCACAAAAATCCCACCACAAACTAATTCAGAAAATCAAAGGTGCTTCGGAAACAGGGGAAGGACAATCTGACAGCCTGGTATGCAAAAACTGAAAACTCAAGGCTTTACACTGCCCGTGTCTTGTATGCATACCTCCTCCACCAGCTGGACACCATAATCCCTCTTGAGAGGTTGCACCGTGACACCTCTGGCGTTAGTGAGCTGCGTCAAGTCAATCGGTTGCTTGGGGTCAACTCTGCCCAAATCAATCAGGTACTGCAGCCTCTGAAGGCTGAGCGGTTGATACTGGCGTCTGAGGCTGGAGAGAGGAAAACAAAAAAAAAACCAAAACAAACCCAAACAAAACAATGAGAAATTTACAAAACTGAAGCTTTAACAGGAACTGGTCAACTGAGATAGAGCACGATGCATTCCATTTTCTACCTACTCCTAAAACAACCAAGTAAATGTTTAAACCAGGTCCATCCATAAACCAAAATTATAAGTTTAATTTAATGCAAATACAAGTCCTAGTTACAGCCCAAAACTGAATTATACATTCAGATTTGCTCACACACCCCCACCTCCAATATAACATTAGTCATTTTGTTGTTGCTGAGCTCAATTTACTCCAGAACACCTCTCTACCTGTTGATTGGTTTAAGAAAAAAAAAAAAAAAAAAAAAAAAGATCAAGAAAAGGAAGTGTCAGCATTTCTTGGTAAGCCAATAAGACTCTAAACAACTACCATCCTGAAAGTGAATCCAGGTTGGTAGCTTCACTGATATGTTCAGAAAATCTGACAAAAAAAAAAAAAAAAAAAAAAAAAAAAAAAAGAGTCAAAACCAAATATACCCTCCCCTCCCATACAAATCTAGTCAAAGACTATCAGCCAAACCCTGTGCGTGCTCCTGCACAGCTTGCCTAAGTCCAACAAGATTTGTTAGTCTATTACCATGGTACCTGACATCTCACAAGTACTGAATGGAACCTTCCTCAAAATACCACCAAGGGAGAGAAATATTGAGAAAATATCCATCAATCCATACACCCAATGGAAAATGGAATATTTTGCCAATAGCCATCAGCTTCAGCAGAATCCACTGTTGCATTTTACAAAGTTCTAACTTTACTACACAAATCAATCTTTAGGACAGCTTTTCAGATCGCAGTGTTGATGCCTAGTGCATACCACTTATGCAGATGCTCAAAACTTGAGAAACTGTCTAACCACTGCTATTTGAAATCCACGAGTGCTAGCAGAAAAACTGAGAAGCTTATCTGTGTTATTGGCAAGCTCAGTGAGACAAGACAAGCAACAGAATTTGCACTGTCAGACAGTTGCAAACGGAGCAGAAGTTCAAGAAGTAGAGGAACACCACTGCAGACAGAAAGAAGAATGAGGTGAAGATAAAGAGGCAGCGACATTGTTCAGCATGCTCCCATTCTGACATGACAGTCTCTCTCAAGTGCACTTAAGATGCTCACTAGAAAACCACTTACAATACCTTGGCATTGAAATTTTGCCAAAACATTGAAAAGAAATCAGAGTCTTTTTTTGCTGTCAGATGGGGTTAAAAACATCGAAACCCTACTAACTTCTTGTCCCTGCAGAAACTTGGGTTTTTGCTGTTGGTTATTCATGAACTTGTGATCACTGTCTCAGTGCCTGCATTCAGCAGCATTTCCTTTGAGGGACTGTGGATCTACATTATGTCTTCAGCCATCAAAAGTGCTTCTCATTAACTCTTGTAATAGCTTAAGTAAACAGGAGGAAATGACAGTACTTGGAAACACAGTTTGAATCACACTTCAAAACTACTAAGACTGACAGAGAAAAGCTTTGATAATCAGGATAGGTCTCTAGGTTATACTGCATGCATAAAAAATAGAAATATATAAATGCACAACTATTTAAGTTATAACCACAACTAAAACATAAAATCAAACTGTAAGTTTAACAATTCACAAATAAATTCACGTATGTCCTTTCATTCTTGAACTGTCTGCTAGGTGTGGCACATTGTTGCTGCTACTGCCTATAACAACTTCTGTATCCACACAATGCTTTTGTGACCATACCTAAAAGCAACAAAATGGTTAGTGACCAAGGTAACATACATGCCACCTTAAAAAACAAAACCACTTTTGAACAACAACAACAAAAAAACAAACAAAAGAAATTTTGTAATTGTCAATATGGTGACGTGAATAAATAAAACACTGGCATACAGATCTCCAGCTAAGAACAGAGACTGGTTAGAAGAATACTTTTAAACATTAAAAAGCTGAAAGAAGGACGTTGCACAAACAAGCACAATGTGAAAAGGGGACAGAAGTATCAAACAAGGCAGAATGTCGGAGAAGAACAATTGTGAAAGGCGACTTAACGGCTTCATCCAATAGTTTTGATATTAAAGAGCTTGTTTAGATCCTAGGTGGAACAGATGGAGCACAGACAGACAAAGACTGCAGTATGGCAAGGCTAAAAAAGTAGTCATGAAGAGAAGCAGCATTGTTTAGCTAGCAGCAGATCAGAGCTTCAGGTGAATAAAGCAAAGAGCAATGACAAAGCAAGGCTCTGGATTACGCTTCCACGCCTAACATCCTCACTCAGTGGGACTGTTCCCAGCCAGTTCGACAGGTTATCTGCTGTGCAGATGGGCAAAGGGAGGAACAAGAACGCATGGAGGAGTGGCCTGAGAGTAGAAATGCACTCAGTTGCAGGAGGAAGGGGAACCTGCTACATATGAGGGATCATGCAAAGAAAAGGGAAAATAAGCAGAGCTGTGAAACAACAGAAAATAAATGAATTCATTAAAAAAAGAATCTCACAAGAAATGGGAGATTCTGCTGGTAAGGAAGCTAACAACCTGAGAGGAAGGTCTCATTTTCCTTTTAGGCCTGTTCTGGCATATTAGATTCTGGCTTCAAGAGAAAGATCAAGAAAATCAGCCAACGATTAAGTTCTGAGTAAACATGAAGAAACTTACCTATGTCCTTCATTAAACCCATACTTTGGTATGGCCAAATAAAATGGAGTTTGACCACCCTCAAAGCCTAATCGGGGGCGATTTCCTCTTTGTCTTTCTCCTTTGTGACCTCGACCACACTTCCTACCTCTGTACCTTCCACGGCCGCGTCTTCTCTCCTTGAAAACAATCAATGACACATTTAGTCAGCTACTTGGGAGATCAGCATCTATAAAAAGTAAGATTTCAGAGTTATAAACTGAGCAAAATACTGATTCTTCAGGAAAAATTAAGAGATAGCTCTCTTCTAATGGGAAAAATAGTCAGAAAAACAATTTATACAATTTTTGCAGAGCACAGCTCTAGGCACGCACCACAAAAAGTCTGAAAGTTTACATGAACATATACTGCGATAAAAGGAATACCAGTATTAAACCCTACCTCTTACAGCCTGCACTCTGCAAGCTAGAGAATTTTCTTGAATTAACTACTGATATTTCCTCCTATTTCATGAGAAAGTCACTCAGCACTCAGAAGTTTCTGAACACTGATAATGAAAAAAATAAATTAAAAAAAAGAAAAAAAAAAATCTACTTCAACGGCCAGGGAACAGCCTCTATATGCTATGCACACATATAATTCTTTTCATGGACTCAGACTTCAGAAAGAGTCTGCAACTGTTGCAATTTCTACTGACTACAAATCAACAAAGAAGACTATTTTAAACCTTTTGTATTTTTTAAATTAAAATTGTGATACCAAGCTATTAGTTTCTTAAGCACTTTTAATCAGCACTGCAGGCATAAGCAGCAGTTCAGCAATCTTCTTGTACTCACTTCCTGTTTGTGCCAGCAGAAGCACCTGCACAGCTACATGGTGAATGGGATCAAAGATATAACCAAAGGTAAATGGTAAATCTTTTTTTTTTGTTTTAATAATAAAACCCAGGTCAGTCACACCATTCAGTACAATTCATGGGTATGCAAATATCTACAGGATTACAAAACAGGCAGTAAGCAAGGGTGGAAAAAAGCAGCTAGGAGTGACTGCTATTAAATCAAGCGGTGCCAGCTCACTCCGACCTAACCAATAAAGTTTTCTGTGTAAGGTGACTTCATCCAATTCATATACTGAAGAACTTGCAGCACTAAGGTTCACAGTGATTTTTTCATGCTTTGTCAGGGATAAGACAGAGCCACAAGCTTCAGAATCTCACTGCCATGCTGCACAGGGTGCAGTTTACTTCTGCTCCAAGAGGTACGATCACCTCTGTGCATCGCTCTGATGGATCCATTTGATCTTACCAAGTTTTTCCCATTTAAGCTAACATTCACAGCAGTGTGAAGGCACGTGGAAGGAGTGTGAAGGCACATGGAAGGAGCAATGTCATGGTGCTGACTAGTCTCCTATCTGCACAACACAATTCATACATTTGCTGTTTTCCATTGTGCCCATCAAGGTGAATCAGTCAGGCTGGGAGACATGTAAAGCAACATATTCCAAACAGTATTTGTACTGTTTATAAGTTAACTTTGATTAAGTCACAGCATGGTCGCTGTCTGATCAATAATAATGTAAATAATTAATTATTAAAGACTATAGTAAGCCTCTTCAATTTCTCATTTTTTGTATGCAACACTCAGACAGCCACACTTCAAGCACCCCTAACCCTACAAATCACTCTATGCAGTTAGATTGCAGTATGGAAGATTGAGTAAAAATCGGGTCTGAAAACTGCTCACTACCTCATGCTACTTGATAATTAGCCTAATGCCACAGAAGACATGAAATTTGATCTTTTATGCTCTTTATTGTGCCTGTAAGTTTCCAAAGTTTTGGAGCACTTAATGTGCAGTGAAATATTAGTCAAGTCAGTACGGGCACACATCAGAAAAAAATGCATTAATGTATTTGAAAAATTATCTGATCTAAGATGCACAACTTACCTGTATTCATACTAAATAGTACAGACTTTAAGTGCAGCTTTACGCTAGACTAGACCATCCCTGCCACCAAAAGAAGCTGACGTGTCCCCAGCCCACACACCATGCTTCTTTGCTCACAGCGCCTCTTGTGCTGACACAATCAGTTGGGTGGCTCTGCGTTGGACAGGTCAGGGAATTAAACTAGATGAAAACTGATTTTTGTCTAACTAGTTTTCAGCTGTTTTAGTTCCATGCTCTGGCTCACTGTGCAGCCTCTAGGAGCAGTACAACATACGCAGTGGGCGTGAGCACCTGGAGGCAAAGAGAGGACACAGCTGGCCCACCCTTTCTGGCGATTGCCCATATACACACCAGGTTACACAGTGACTTTTGCTAATACAAATACACCGACCATATCTGGTCATAAATGGAATGTAATTAGTACATTGAGCAGATTTTAGATCGTCAGAGGAGCCAGCCAAAATCCCCGCCACACACACAATTTCTGTTTTTGAAGTCAAATGCTATCTTAATTCTGCTTATTTGAGAACTTCACTGATCACAGCATAATGTTGTCAGACACTAAAAGAAAAATAGCAGAGAAACAGAGCTGAGGTGACTTGTATAAACTCTAACTGAAGGCAAACAGTTAGCAGTAACACAGGGAAAAAAATGCTCATTTCCTACATGAAGTTGCAAGTTACCTGCTAAAGATCCAGAGAGGATACAAAAATCTCTACTTTCAAGATTAAAAAAAAAAAATAAAAGTGTTCTCCTAAATGCAACAGCTACCTTGAAAAACAAAAAGTCCTGAGACCAAAGACAGGCAAGAAAGCACCAGTTCTAGTAAACTTCACATTCAGGCTATCTCACAACTTCTGGATGCTAAGCCTTAAAACACTGTTTGGGAGCCTTTACTAGTCTGAAAAAACTTAAGAATCACCACTCCAGCCCTACACAAGGCTGCTTCTTTCAACATCGCTTGACCCTGGCCAAGCTGGGCATTCACAGCTTCAAGTGAAGTAACTTCACAGGGGAACCCCAGCAGCTGCAAGGGGGAAAAATTTCCATTCTCATGTCTTGTCACAGGTCTAAGGGGTTACAACTATGCAGCACCTACCAGCTCTGCAGGCATCTCTAGGGAGCCTTGAGCACTGACAGGGCAGTGCTGCTTGGTGCTCCCTGTCAGTTCTCTATTCCTATGACTTTTGCCCTTGAGCCTCATCCCCCTGTTCACTGGTACGTCCCCCAAGCCAGGTGGGTTTTTCTTTACTCCTCTATCGCTTTACAAGGAGATAGGGAAGAGAACATTTAGTTTTGTTTTGAGAAGTCAATAGTAACAAGTGCTTGCTGGCATCACATTCTTCTTCTTTTCAAGCCTTTTAACCTTCCTTTTCCAAATGTATTACCCCATCCCATACTTTTTTACTGTTTCCGCCCGTTCCCCATCGATGGTCCTGAGGTTTAGCTAGGGCCACTAGAACTACCCAGCTCTCCGTGCGGACAGCCACACACACCGGCTACAAACACGAGAAAGGCAAGAACAGGGCCAACACAGACAACGCTGCCACCCGCTGCTCTGCCTTCCCACGCCTGTTCTGGCCAGGCCGCTCTCCTGGGCCT